CTAACTCCAGCCACAATTTCCGGGCCAGTGCTTTTTCTACAATAGCTTTCTCAGTCTAAATTCAAAAACCCTCACAAGAGTGATGCTGCAAAGAACATAGAGAAAGGTGAACCACGCTTCTGTCAGTGCATAGAATAGCCAGAAATATGTAGTCAGACGAGGAACATGCACTAATGATCAGTCATCCCTGAATATGTCTCTGGGGGTACCATGATCAAATAATGTTCACCTTTTTTGTTAATCTCCATTTCTGTTTTAGTTTTGAAAGGACACATAAGGGTTAAAATTAAGAAATCTTTCCACTTTATCCTCTGGCAGAAGGGTTATCCTTGGAAGCAAAAAGCCCACATATAACCATCTGAGCACATTAAAAGAGAACCACCTACTCCAGATAACAATGATGTAGTGGCAGGAGTAAAAACTGGCAAGTAGTCAACAACTTATTTACTGAGAAGAGGGCAAAATTAGAAGAACCAAAAGTTCCATATGAGTTCTGAGCAAGGGGGTTCCTAATCTGAGAGTACAGTAGCAATAGATAAAGGTTTATAGCATTAATAAGAACTGTTATTGCAAGAGAAATTAATAGGTTTAAGTATTGATTTCTTAAATCTTCCCTAGAAATACACAACTTGCTTGATACAGTATTCATGTAAATTATATCCTAATAACTCTAAAGTTCACCCATCTCCCACCCACACTGGGGGGTCACTTTAATACATCTAGCCATTGATTCATTATTTATCATATAGTTACACCACATTTGTTTATGTGCCTGGTACCTTCCTAGACACTAGAAATACAAATATGAAAAAAATTAAATGTTTTAACCTCTCAACCAACAGAGGATTCTTTCTTATAATGTCCCTGAAAGAAAGCTTACCTAGATTCAGCAACAGGAAACTTAATAATTTTCCCAGGCATACAATTCCATTTTTGGATTGACATAACTGTTTAAAAATTTTATTTGGAGTAGTGGAAGCTGTTTCATAATATAGAGGACACAGATAATGTCATATTTCTGAAATCAGGAAAACCATATTAAAACAAATCCACCAAATTGCCAAGAAAACCACTATCAGTCACTCCAAGGGAAAATATACAGGTGCCTGCCCAAGTACCTGCAAATAGATCTCTCTCTCTCTCTCTCTCTCTCTCTCTCTCTCTCACACACACACACACACACACACACACACACACACACACACACACACACGCACACAGCACACACAATGCATACAACTTATTTTGAATTGAAAAATGAAACATGTTCTCTCAGTCCTGCTGCCTTTCCTTCCCACTCTGTATGGAGTGATGGCTCTTTGTGAAGCAAGTCCAGGTGCACTTATGATTCTATGGAGGGTTGGAAGCTCAATCAAATGCAGTGGATTCTCTCTAAGACCCAGACACTTAACACCAAGTCTTCTTCTATTGCCTTTCACCAGCTACAAAGCCTGAGGTCCTGCCTCTCAAAGCTGAAGTTTTCACAGAGGCTCTAGAAACCAAATTTACCAGAAAATATACAACCCCCTCTATTCCAGTATGTCATTAGATCAACCCTTTAAGTTTCAACATACAGCTTATATACATTCCTTCCCATCCTGGGTAATTGACTGTATTTGTTTCCCAAAGCCTTGCCTGTATACTTTTTCCTTGAGAATGAGAAAAATCTGGATTTCCAAGAAAGTTCTGGCTACTTTTTTTGGAAGAAGGAAGAGGGAAGTCATTTTTGTGTGCTTAAGGATGAATAGAATTCATAAAACAAGACATGGTTAATATCTCCACAGGTGGTTCTACATAATGAATTTTTTAAAACTCACTTGCTACATCTTTCATGAGATGAAATCTCTCATTCTATAAATTCTTCCAAGCAGTTCTAGTCTTACTTCTTGTCAAGACCACTGTCAAAGGAGAGAAAGATGTGATATTTTAAGGCAGCTCCCTGAGGCTACCGAAGTCTCTTCTTTGGTCTAAATATGCTCAGTCCCCTCAAGAGTACCCAGCAGCACTTCATCATATTTAACACTGAAAATCTTTAAGGTTGGTAATAAATTATTTTGAAAAAATAGAGGAATGATATGCCAGAATTGTAGATTATTTTAACACACTTGATTTTGTATCTCAGGAATCAACCCAGTGATAGGTGATTTCAAGTTTGGCCAGCATTAAACCCAAACTTTGCAATTCTTGGCAACTCTTTTCTTATCTGTCTTCTCTTCTTATTGGCTGATAAAACTGTCTCATTGGCAATTCCATCCTAGATGTGGAGGTTAATCCATCAAGCTATCATAGCTTTATGTCTCTAGTCGATAAGATGAACCTACTAACTCTCTGCTTTTTATTACTCTTTATATATTAATAAATCACTATGACTTGTACAAAGAAAAAGAAAAATGTGAAAGAACCTGTACAAAAGTCTATTCAATGCAAAACAAAGGAGGAGTGGTCAATTTAATTTGGAAAAGTTGATGAGAAGTGGTTCAATAAAATCCCTGAGGAGGAGGAAACACTTGAAATATAACCTATTGGGCAGGGATAGAAAACAGAAAAGCTTTAAGAGAAATTCAGACCTGTGCCAGACAGAAGTCAATCAGATACTGAGGGAGCAGAAATATCTGGAGACTGAGCTTAAGGAAATCACTGATTCAAGTTAACTATTCCATAGTTGGACAATAACAGAATTTTGCCTTATTACTCTGGCTAAGCCCTTTCCTTTTTTTCAAAGGGTGTAAATCCCTGCCTTACTTTCCAATACTTTTATTCCCTAAGGCTTAGATTCCTAGCTTTCCTCTCCAATGTCCTAGAAGACAGAATCATGGGTTTCTAGACCTGGACCTAATAATTGGGCCCCCATTTACCTACAAGTCAGCAGACTTCTTTTCCCTACCAAAATGCTGAGATGTTCTCATGTCTAGGATCCTTCCTTTGGAGAGTTTTAGTAATTTTTGTGAAGACTTCCTGCTAGCAGATTCATTTGGTCTTTTTATTTCAATATTTTCCAATCTGACCATCATAGCCAAATCATAATTATAATTCAAGTTATAATGCCTACTTTGCAGAGGCTAATGTTGAGGCTCAGCACAGAGCGCTCGCCTAGCACGTGCAAGGCCCTGGGTTCGATCCTCAACACCACATAACAATAAATAAATAAAATAAAGTTATTGTGTCCAACTACAATTTTTTTAAAAAAAAATGCCTGCTTTGCTTGTAAAGAGCAAAACTGCCTTGTGTGTGATTTTTTTTACCTACAAATAATATTGTAGCATTAAAAATGTCACATATATAAAGTCATTTACAGTAAAAGTGACAAGAGAACACAACACAATCAATATAGTCAAACAAACAATAAAGAAGAGATAACATAAAGACTTACAATTTAATTGAATGTTTAAACTTTGAGTTAAAAGGGCCACCCATAATTGCTATTGAATTTATCTCTGAATCACCTATTGACTGATATGCCACCAATAAACATTTTTATAATATTTAAAATACTAATGATAATAATAGTATGTCTTTGAATGGTCAATATAAAGAAGACATTCAGTGCTGGGTAGGATAGAGTTGTCTGTGGCAAACTAAAATTACCACCAAGAAAGAAAAAAAAAACAAGGGAAATCTCAGAAAAGTGACATGATGATCTGAAACAACACTTTTCCTGTGGGTATTTGCTGACTCTCAGGCAACAGGGCTCAGAGACGAGGCTGAGAAGCTGGCAAAGTGCACCATGGAGATAGGGTGACAAAACTGGGAACATGGGAGGCCACAAAACATATCCAGTATCTTCCTCAAGACATTTGCCAAATTCTGAAAAGGCATGGAGGGCTGGAAGTAGAAACCTCTGAAAAGAAGAATGTTTTTCAGAGTCTTTCAAAGCATTGAACACTGTAAACCAACATTAAGGGCCCACCAGGGGGAGGTCCCCTGCAAATACATCAGGCTCCTTTTACAAAGTCCCATAAAACTATAACTTAGAATCAAGAGCAAAAAAGTAGCTAGAGACTTAAAAAATTTTTTTTAATGCAATTTAGCCTTAGCACCACTCAGAGCCTCAATAAATCAATGTGTTCAGTTTCCATATTGTATGCCTAGCACTCTCCACTGGAAGACAAGATCTGGGTAAGCCACAATTTTTACAAACAACATTTGATTGCAAGTCAAAATCGGTGAACATGGCAAGAGACACTGCCAAAATATTACAAAGAAAGAAAAAAAAAACAATAAAAGCAGAATAACAAATGATCCAAATATTGCTTTAGAAGACAAGAACTTTAAAAAAAATGATTAGTAGCTCCACAGAAAGGGAGAAAAGACAGATAATCTATACTGAAATGTAGAATTTCACCACAAATTTGGAATCTAATAATCAAATGGCAATTCTGGAACTAACATTGCATCTAATGTTAAGAATTGAATAAGTAGATTAACAAGTTAGAAATAAAAGAAAATGCAACTGATCACCTGACAGACTAATTTTTTAATGGAAAGGTAGGAAAGGAATAAAAATTCCAGGAAAGATTGTTAGGGAGAAATGAGATTTAAAAAAAGAAAACTGTTCCACTGTGTGCAGTTGGAGCCCAGAAGAGGATTTTAAAAAATGGAGAAGAGAAATATTTTAAAGAATAATGACCAAGAATGTTCCACTAATGAAAGACATCAAGTTAGATTTCAGAAATCCATTTAACCACAAATAGGATAAGTCCAAGTAAAACCATACTTAAGCATATAATTGTTAAACAACTGAAAAAAAATCTCAAATGTGTCTAACTGCTTTTAAGATTTTCTCTCATTTAACTTATAATCACATTTTAGTCAATTTTCAAAAAAGTGGTTCTGGGAAAGCTATGTCACATTTTAGGGGGGGAAAAATGTTGGTATAGCAACCTTTTCCCTCAAAAATACCCAGTATTAATTTCCTGGGAATATTGTACACACCAAAAATGAAGACCTTAAAACTACAGAATTTATTATCAGAGTTCTGGAGACCAGACGTGTTTGCCTACCATCTCTGGTGTTCCACAGCTTATAGAGAGTTTCTGCCATTTTCATCACGTGGCTTTCTTCCTCCTGTGTATCTCTCTCCTGTTATTATGAAGACACCAGAATTACTGAATTAGGAGCCCATCCTACTCCAGTATGACCTCATCTTAATTTAACCAATTACATCTGCAAAAGTGTTATTTTCAAGAAAGATAACATTCAGAAATTTCACTATCAGAAGTTTCAGTAATAGAACCTCAACTTATCTTTTTAGAGGTTGCAACCCACACTATAACACATACTACATAATTACATTATGATAAGTGATATTCCAACACGACTTCATGCAAAAGCACACTCACCTATGTGTCCAACATCATAGTTTCTAATCAAATATTATCATAGAAAAAATACAAATTGAATGCCATGTTTAGATGGCCCCCAAATATTTGTTCTAAAAATGCACATCAGCCAAAAAGGTTGGGGCAAGTAGCACTTTCAACAATTCTTCAAACTATATTATTCATTGAATTCAATTTTGTATATATGTGTTGAAGTTCTCTTGTGTTTTGCCTTTATTTACCCCTAAAGGTACTCTTCTGGCTATGAAAGTACAACTTGAATCCTAGCCAACCCAGAATCTCCAAAATGTTAAAAAAAATGGTGATGAAATGGTACCAAAAGAAAGACTCTGTTGCACTCCTCCTTCAGACCAACCACTGCCAGTGCCCAATCTTCTGTTCCTTCTCTGTTGGGTACAATAAATCTGAACTTATCACATTCATCTACCCTTAATATTTGGTTTATTAAAACATTCAATTCAAATTATTTGGTGTTTTAGGTTGAGATGGATCATGTCAGAATATTTTTATTAAAATTAATAGAATGTTTTATATAAAATTTCTTCACATTATGTCAGAATTTTCAAGAAGAATTAAAGTCATTAAGCACGTGACATGTATAAATGCAAAGGAATAACAATAAAGCTGAAAGAAAATCCAATGGAAATGATAGAAGCCAAAAACAATGAAAAGATTTCTTTAAAATGCTGAAAGAAAATAAATGCCAATCTCCAATCCTATGTGAAAATGTCCATCAAAAATAAAGGCAATACTCAGACAAATTAAATACCAAAAGAATTTGGATCCAATCAGAAATTTGCTAAAAGAAATGATGCAGCTCTATGTTTAGGAAACAGGACAAATATCACCAACTGCTAAAAAAAGATGAGAAATGAAAGACAAAGTATAAATGAATGGGTAAATATCTGTGTAAATACAAATAAATATTAGTTTTGACAATAATAGTAATATCTTCTTGGATCAAAAGTACACATAAAGTTAAAATGTTTAGCAGCAATAACCTAAAAGGACTATGAATGTAAATGTAATATTCACTACAATCAAAAAAGTGATAAAATTACTAATTGGCAATAGGCCATAATAAATCAAGAGAGCATGTTACAATTCCTCATGTTAAACTGAGCACAATGGCACATACCTATAATCCCAGCTACCCAGAAGGATGAGGCAGGAGGACTACAAGTTCAAAGATATCCTGGGCAACTCAACAAGATCCTGTCTCAAAAACTAAAACTAAAAAGATCTAAAAAATAAAATAAAATAAAAAGATCTGGGTATATAGCTTCAGTGTTAGAGTGCTTGTTTAGCATGCCCAAGGCTCTAGGTTCAATCCCCAATACTTCCAAAAAATAATAATAATAATCTCATATCAGAACCACTAAAAGGAAAGTAAAAGAATATATAACTATCCAGTTATCAAAAAAAAATTAAACAATGAATATACAGGTCCTACACACAAAATAAGCATTCAATCAATGATCACTGTTATTATCAAATACATAATAATTTTAACTAGTCTATGCTACCTAATAAAGAGAGAATTAAATGGATAAAATTATTCCAAGCTATGTTCCAAGTCTTAGGATAGGTACTCAAGTTTGCAGAGGTATGATTAATCATATTATAAAATGCTAATTGTAAGTCTTATAATGCACTATATTTTTTCTGATGATCTGTTCAGTCCAGTATGAATCAGAAGGAAATTCTTAAGGGGATTCACTGTGTTTGTCAAGAGAATGTGGAGTTGGTAATGGTGCAGGGGGCAATAATCAGGGCAATGGAGACTCACAAGTTTCATTGGAAGACTTGTCAACTAAACAGATGTCCATAGCTGATGAAATCATATGTATTTCATATGTTGCTTCATTATTACCTCAATTACAAATCTACTGACAGTTAATTGCTAGACTGCGATCTCAAAGCACCATGTAGTATAGATGGTGCCCCAGAGTTTCCTTGCAGTACAATTCTATCAACATAGCTGGAATTCTAATGTATAGGCAACATTTGAAAAATAAATGGTAAAATAATTTGCAAGTCGCTGTTGAATAACAAAGTGAGGTGCTATAGATACAAACATAGAGAACTTGATATTTAAGAATACCAGACACATCTTCCTGGAAATTGTTACCAGCAGAAAAAACTAGCACAGTGAGTGGCTATCAGGAAAGGCTAACTCATAGAGGAAAACCCCATAAACAACTGATTTTTCAAATAATTTCTTTTTCCTGATAGACTTGATTTCATGTCTCAGAGTTAGACTTAAGGATGGAATGTACTAGTTAAGTGCTCTAATTCTATTTACCAAAAGTCCTACAATTGGAGATCATTGGAATTTCCTGATAGGATAGAGTTTGCATTTTGGTTGTCAGTTTTGTTTTTTGTTGTTGTTTTTGTTTTTGTTTTTGCTTTTGTTTTTTTAGCTCTGAATATATAATATCAATTTATTTTACAGAAAGTTTGTGCAATTTATACTCTCACTTAACCCAAACCACCAACATTAAATATTTTTTCTTCTTTGCCAATCAGATAAAGGTTTTTTATTTGTTTTTTTTTTATTTTGTTTTGTCTTGGGGATTGAACCTGGGGCACTTTGTGAGCTCCTCCAGCTCCTATTTTATTTTTTCTTTTGAGATGGGGTCTCACTAAGTTGCTTATGGCCTCACTAAATTTGCTGAGGTTGGCCTTCACCTTGCAATCCTCCTGCCACAGCTTCCTGAGGCTCTGGGATTACAGGCTTGTGCCACCACACCAGCTTTTGGGGGTTTTTTATGCATGCTTTTCATTTTTTCAAAACTACATGGGAAGCTAGATTACCAATAGAACAGGTTTGGGACACTGTGAGAATCTAGTCATAGTATTATCAAAATTTGCCAAAACATATCCTCTATCACCAATAGTCTTTAAAGCTAATCATGTCATTATTCTCCTTATGACTAAAAAGTCATTATAAACGTCATAACCTTTTAATATATAAAATCAATCTAAATAAATTCATATAATTCTAACTTTAATGTATAAAAATGTGTGTGCAGAAATATTTTATATACTATAAATATGAGAGTACGACACTAAGAATACTTGGAGGTTTAGGATCTCTATACGTGTACGTTATTAATCAAAGTTTCAAATGAGTTCTGTAATAATATTTGATAGAATTTAGAACTCATTTATCAGATCTTTATTTATCCTTATTTATCAGATCTCACCATTGTAAATGACAGAAAGCCAACTCAAGCTGCCTTAAGTTATAAAGGAATATATTAACAGAGATGAAAGTACATGGGTAGAATGGCTCAAGAACTTGGCAATCCAGTTACTCAAAGAATGCCATTATGATCTGTCTCCATCTCTCAGTCCCCATATTTTCTGTGCTGTCTTCTTTAGTAGACAAGATTTATTCAAAAAACTGCTGCAAGCAAAAGAGACTTAAAAACCACAATAAAGTAAAATGGTCTCTTTCCTACTGTTATATAAAAAACCCCATGGCTGCTGGACCTTTACAAAGGTCCAGTTGAAGTCAAATATCTAACTCTGAAATAATAATTATGACTGATTATTTGGTTCTTGATTATGTACCCAGCCCTAGACTACATGGACTGAGGGTATGAGTGAGGTGGTTCCCTTTGGCAAAGTCAGGGTACAGCAAACAGAATAGGAAATGGGCTTGATCAAGATCAAAATAAACAAAAAGCTATAATCAATACTTTAATCTGAATATTTTTAAAAAATTTGTTTAATAGGATCTCTGGACCTGATAATGAAACACCTGCATAAGCTCATATTTCAACATTTTTCTCTGGATATCTGAAATCCAATTTAGCAACATTTGAAATTTCTGAGATGTAATTATCATATAAGCTAGTGTGCTCATCCATGCAGTGATTCTCTTCCCTCCTCTCCAACTTCCTCCTAGCATTTAAACTGTCTCTTTTGATGGTTCCAACTTGATAGAGACATGCATTTATCATAAATTCAAGTTTGAGACAGGCATGAAGGGAGAAATATATTCTGCATGTTCTATATAATTTATTCATGATTATAGATGTTAGCAGTTTAAAATTAGAAATTACCTAATGTGCTACTACTTTCTATGTTGTAGAAAAAAATTAATGCTTCCTTGGAATAGATCATTACTTTGAAAAATATCCATATACCTAAACTCTTCATAGTTCCCCAGTTTGGCTATATAATTGATAAAGAAGGTAGTACTTCCATTATCTCATATCGGTTAATAACTTATTGATTTATTATGGATATCATCCATTGGGCTAAATGGCTTTTCATAGCTTCACTTTAGGTATGCATGAAATCGAAGAACAAAGCCACTGTGAAACATATTTCTACCTTAGAATAATAAGACACATAAAAGATCTATACCAAGCAATTAAATTTAAAGCATTGCTCTTTTTCTGTCCCTGGTTCATGACAGACATCACCAATTGATGACTGCACTCCTCACACTCTTTATCAAAATGGCACTCTGGACAGCTGCTACCAAACAACGGAGGCACTAAAAATAAATTTATTGACAAATTTGTCCTTAAGAATGTTTTATTTAGCCAACTAACTATAATTGAAAAAATATCTTATATTTTAGCAATGGCCCTACATGGAATTTTCTTCCAATCTGAGATTTTTTTGAGTTTAACTTTTTTGGAATTATACCTATCTATATTTTTAGGCCTAAGTAATGTCAGATTCCAAGATACCAGAGTTATTAAAATGTTCTATGAAACTCTGCCCAATCCCATCTAAACAGCATTTTGAAGCAGCCAGGAAGCATTCATGTCTTACCCCCTGCCACTAGAATACCCAGAAGTTTCTTTATCAGAATGAGTTCCCAGGAGTCTAAAAAACCCAAACATTTCAAAAAAGTCAGATTCCCTGCAGAAATTCAGATACAGGCTCCAAAGATTTTCATGTTCTCCAGGATTCCCTCAGTGCAAAAGTCTTCTTGTTAGTGCTCCAGGTAAAAAGTCTAACAACTATTCATTTAACCAAGTTGGCTTAATGCTTTTGATAAGTGAAAAGACCTGCTTCTTTGAGATTTCAGTCCATTTGCTTCTGCTTTCATGCTCCCTTTAGTTGTCTTGATAAGGGAGCATGACAATGAATAAATTAATAAAGAATTAGAGCACTGTGACTGTTTTGATATAAATGTACTCACCCAGGGGATGATCATGTGGCTTTGGCATCATGCACAGTGCATCTGGGCAGAAGTCTGCTTGGGGAGTTAGCTTGGATCATAACTCTCCTTCATTCTGTGGAGGCAAATCCACAGAAAAGAGTTACTCAGGCTCCAGGGGAAAGAAAGCATTCCAGCAATGACATAAGCATTAGTTAAAGCAATGTTTCCAGGAGAATCAAGGTATCATTCTATGAAATGAATTGTTATTAAGCTTATGAAATGTAGTAAGCAATAGATCTCATCAAGTGATGTGGTATCCCTCCATTTCTTAAAGTACTTATGTTAGACCAAACAGTTTATAAAGGAGGCATGGATGATATTGCTATAAATGTTTGTTATAAAAATCACATGGATGCTTCCATAGGAAAGAGTCCACTAAATGATGGAATTGATCAAGTTTTATGGAAAAGCAGTTACAATGGTAGATTTGTCCCCTGGAATTCACCATGCCTTGTCCCAGGGACAGATCTGTCTCACAGCGCATTTTTCTTCTGCTACACTCTTCTAGTTTCATATCTTTTCCCCACAGACAGACATAATACGATTCCCATTCTCAAAAGCATATGATTCATGAACAAGTCTGCAGATTCCTTGACTCAAGACCTCTCCATATGTATGGATCCTCTTAGATGCTTTTTGTCCAAGCATGTATATTATCTACTGGTTTGAGGTCATCAAATAAAGTAAAACTGCAAAGGTATGAAGGGGAAAAAATGAATCTTCTGAATTACCAACCTGCAAAAGGATACTTTCAGTCTGAAAAATTACTTGAACTGAAAGTTTGGAGGTTTTCATATATAAATATCCAAGAACCATGTGATTCATGCCATCACAGAGCTTGGTGTTTTGTAGGGAAACATATGGTCTCATGTCAGTCATCTTGGTACTAACTGTGTTTCTTCTCATCTAGACTATTGTACTGGTCTCCTCACACATCTCTTGGTATCCAGTGCCTTTCCACTCGCGTTTTATTCAATCTAATTTTTAAAAGTATAACACGTGTTCCTTTTATGTGTAGCACATTAAACAGTTTTCCATTGTCACCAATGTATGTGTTTATCCCTGAGTTTGTTACACTTCCACGGTCTGGCCCAACCAGTTATATTCACTAACTTTTCTCTTGCATGCTATTTTGCAAACTAGTCTTCTTGTCAATACTTGGACTATCCTATCAAAAGAAAATATTTCAATTTGATTCTCTGATTTGACATTAAGTTACAAGCTTTTTATTTTTTAAGCTCGGTTGACTTTAAGGATGCCTGAGAAGGTAGTACACAAAACACAAGTGACTAGCCACAATTTAGTAATTTGTTTAGAAGTCTCTGAAAATAAATTCAATACATTTTTACATTCATAAAAGTTCAAGTGAATCGACCAAATTTCATAGTCAAGGTATCATTAGATTATTTTAGGTTAAATCCTTGGCCTCCTGCACAACATAGACAACTTGCCAATCACAGCCAGGTCACTCCTTCATCCCTTCAGTTGCTGCATGCAAGATACCGTGCTAACTACTTTGAATAATGGAGCAATGTGCATGAGGTTCCGGGATAGATGAGAAATAAACACCAAAACTACAGTATAGGGTCAAAACTGATATGAGCTTCAAGAGAAAGAAAATAAATTTCTACAAGAGTTTAAAGGAAGAGATAAAATATTTCTATTTGAAGGATCCAGGAAAGATCAGCAGAATTGGCCTTAAAAAATGGGTAGGATTCTAATAAGAGAGAATTTTAATAAGGAGATAATTCTAGGAGTGAAAACATTGAGTGGTAGAGAAGTAGTAAGATGACAAAAGCCTAGCTTGAGGTATAACTTTTCAAAAACTGAAAGCTTTAGGAAAAACTTTAAGGAAATGTTTTGGAAAAACTTCAGGAAATTTTTTGAATTTGTCTCATTTTTCTTATAAAATATTTGTCATTAATTTCTTTCTAATCACATTTAAGGAAAACAAAAAGCTGACATATACTTATCCACTCAAACAAGGCAGTTAGAGAACATTCAAAGTAATTTTTTTGAATAATACACTTGAAAAGTAAACTCAAAACTAATATGAGGTATGACTCCCTTTTTTCTTAGGGAGTGGAATAAAAATTAAGTGGCAAATAAATAATTTAAACACATATAGTCTACGAATGCTACATTTGCTTTTTGCTGTTGTCTTTCATCCGTCACCTTGACATTTGTTTCTATTTAAGTATAGTACAGGGTATATACATGTAACTTGTCTGCTTTCTTTCTAAATTTTTAGTATATGATGGCAAGGACCACAACCTTTGCATCCAATATAATTCCCATCACAACTAAAAGGCATCTATAACTAGTGGTTACTAAATTAATTACTGTGAACAACTGACTTCTAATGATTCTATTTGTCTTTTAGATTAGGGATATTGGAAGAAAACTCCTCAGTTTAAATATTAATGTAAAATGGTCCATTTAACCTAAAGAGTCTTAAGAGAGCTTCAAAATGTGTGTTCTTTAGGTATTAACTACATTTTTGCCTTCTAAGGGATTTGTTTCCCTACTGCTTCATTCCTCAAGACAAATAGCTGATTCCATATTTTATCAGAAACAGAACAGACACAACTGAACCCAGTGAGTGGCATCAATCCTTATAGTGTACTCAGTCACTATGGCATGTACAGAATCTAATAAGAAAAGTAGTAGTTCTCTTGTATTATGACATAGAAAAATCATGTTTCATATATCAGTGGAAAATTTTGAGAAAACATTTTATTCTCTGGTGATCTAAGATATTGTAAAAAAAAACAAAAACAAAAACAAAAACAAAAACTTTAACATACCAGTCAAGATAAGAATAATTTCTTGGGCAGGGGATGTAGCTCAGTGGCACAGTACTTGCCTAGCATGTGAAATTCCAGATAAAACAAATTCTATATTTTATAATTACTTTTACCTCAAAATCTATCTGTTGACTGAGGATGATTTTTAAAAGCTATATAAAATATTGTACCAAGCAATCAATACTTTTGAGGTAATGTTTGTATTTTCAATTGTCTTCTTGTAGGGTATACATACACATATATACACACACACATAGAAAAAAAAATGTCTAGATTGCTAATGAAGAGCTCACTCAAAAAGGATAATGATGTTACGAGCCAGTGAGCTTAGTAGAGTGCTCCTTAACATCACATAAAAATAAACAAATAAAATAAAGGCATGCTATCCATCTACAACTACAAAAAAAACATTTAAAAACAAAAAGAATAAATTCTTTATTATATCTTATGTGGATAACACAAAAAATATATTTCAATAGACCAACTATGAAAGAAAATGTTACATAAATAACCCACAAGGGTTCAAATAGTTTTGTAAACTATCCTGTTAGGTACTTGAAACATCCTTAATTCAGTAAAGAGATGAGGTTTTTCTTTAGCAATAGAAAAAGATATTCTAGGAATGTACTTAAGGTATGCCTGAGTAAAAGTGAACAGTATGCTTCAGGATCTAAAACACAATGTCCAGGGGACCCCAATTATAAAGTTAGAACTAGTGCAAGGTTTCCACACCCTTTATTTCAGCTCCAGAATAGTGATAATAAACAACCATATAAATTGTCTATGTATCACTGCAAGTTTTTCAAAGATAGTATGAATTTTTTAGCTGACTATATGAATAAAACAGTAACTTTGGAGTTCTGCCCATTTTAAAGATATTTACAGACTACAATAGAACTCTTTATTTTTACAGCAATTAATGACATAAGAATAGCTTCATGGGGTGACTTCTGTATTCTTATAAGCATTACTGGGAAAATGACACAACAAAATATTTTCACCTCATTTATTCTCCCTTTCTGGTTAATGTGATGTTGCATTAAATCTTTCCTAGGGCCTGGAGTCTGACTGTGGTAGACTTTAATTTCTAGCTATAAATTTGAAAAAAAAATAGAAACAAAAATAAAAGTACTGCATTATCATTAGTAAACATGACCTAAACCATTTCCTCTATATAATTTGTCACTATTTCCACAAATACTTACTGAGTCCCAATTCTGTTCAAGTTACTTGGAATATTGGAGTGAACAAAATAGAAAAAAAATATATCTGTTTTAATGAAACTTATGCTGGAAGACAAAAATTAAACTAGAAAATAAGTACACTAAAAATAATTGCACTTCATGCTTTGTGCTGTGAAGAAACTAAAGAGGGCACTGAGTATGACAGGTGTGAGTGAGGTGTTGCTGTAGATGGTGTGTTTATTTCTAGTTGCAGTGGAAAGTTATTAGACAGTTTTAAGAAGGAAATATTCCAATTCATATTTCAAAAAGATCTCTTGGACTGCTCTGTGAAAATTAGACCTTATGAAGCAAAAAGAGAAGCAGTATAACCACTTACAAAGCTTTCAGAGTGACCCAAGACAGCAATATGGCACCCTGGATGATTGTGATATAGATCATCAGAAATCTGTTGTGGATAGATCTTGGTTGGAAAGCACACAAAACTTGCCAATGGATTCTGTGGGTAGAGGGAGATCCTCAAGGGGTATCAAGAACACTTCTCAATTTATGAACATGAGGTGATGCTATGGTATATGCTGAGGTGGAAATGCCTGGAGAGAAGCAGGTTTGGGAAAAAACATTAAGGGTTCTCATATGGTCTTTGTTTTAATATAGGATACTTAAAGCGGTAATAATAACCACAAAATCTCAGTTACTTAAGGTAATGAAGGCTACTTCCTACTCATCTTATTGAGCACAGGTCAGCAGAGCACTGTAATTGCACACAATCCCTCAGAAACCCAGGATAACAGAGTCTCCACCAAGTTGTGAGTACAGCAACTGTGTGACAAAACTCCCCTGGTTGCCAGAAAGAAAGAGAGATTGAAGAATCATGCTTGGGCTTTGTTGTTGCTCTTTTTGTTGTTGCTACTGTTTAGTAAGCTTTAATAGTAGTCATTCTTATTTGTTTTCCTTTTGACATCATACAAGCTATTGATATTTTAGTTAATTACCCTAAGTGATTTAGAACTAAAAAGCTAGAATAGGTATGCACTGGCTAATATAGTCCACTCAATATAAAGGTTTCAGAATATTAGGTAACT